CTTAAGCCAGCAGGTGGTCATACCCCAAGGGGTCCCAGACTGCGAGAGGGCACAGGCCAGGCTGAGGGACCCTCCAGAGTGCACAAATTTTTGTGCACCGGGCCTCTAGTCTATACCAATAAAAGGCTAATGTGCTAATTAGACTGGACATCTTCCAGATATTCTTCTAGATGTTCTTTCAGACAAAGCCACAGTGGCTGCGAGGACCAGTCCAGCACCGTGGCCCCTTTTGCAGAGGCCGCGGGAGAAGGTGCTGCAGGAGAAGGCAGAAGGGAGAAGGCCGGTGCCTCAGGAGAAGGGAGAAGGTGGCAGTTAGGCAGTTAGGGTGATCAGGCCAGGAGGGGAGAGCAGATAGGCAGTTAGGGGGATCAGGCTGGCAGGGGAGAGCAATAGGGTGATATGGCTAGGAGGGGAGAGCAGGTAGTTAGGGGGATCAGCCAGGAGGGGAGAGCAGTTAGTCAATTGGGGCGATCAGGCCAGGAGGGAAGAGCAGTTAGGCAGTTAGGGGGATCAGACCAGCAGGGGAGAACAGTTAGGAGGATGAGGCTGGCAGGGGAGAGAAGTTAGAGGCATCAGGCAGGCAGGCAGGTGAGCAGTTAAGAGCCAGTGGTTCTGGATTGTGAGAGGGATCCCGAATTGGAGAGGGTGCAGGCCAGGCTGAGGGACCCCCACCGCCCCCCCATGCACACATTTTGTGCACCAGGCCTCTAGTTGATAATAATAATAATGCCTATCCTGAAAATTTCTGTGAATATTAAGTGCATTAAACCTGGAAAATGCTAAGAAACAAGTCTGGCACATAGTGCTCACTAAAGTTAGTGTTTGGTCACTTAAGAAATTCCCCATTTTGGGACATTTTGTTTTCTTTTTCCCTACCATTATTGTTGTTGTTGTTGTTGTTATTTGCTATTACAAACCACATTGGCATAAACTTTTTTCCCTAGCCATATCTCTGAGCATCCTTAAAACTTTTAGAAGTACAATTGCTGGACAAAAGGGGTTTAAGGTTCTGCCACAGATTTTCAAATTCCTCCTTCCCAACCCCTACATCCTGGGTCCACTTCTTATACCCTCCACTCTTGGCAAAGGGCTCAGATTAGGGGGCCCCGACACCCAGGCTTTGCCCCTCCTTCTAACTGATGGGCATTATAACGCTGAAGATTCCTTACCCGGGCGAAACCAACTTCCCCGCGGGCCAGCGACACGGAGTGGCTGTAGGCGTTCACGGTGACGAAACCCACATAGGAGACCCTGCGGCTGCCACGGTGCTCGTTCTTGGCCTCCACGCTGAAGGCTGGCAGTGCCTCGTCCTCGCTGTTCAGCTCCACCATCATGTACGAGCACGTGCCCATCATGTCGTAGCGACGGCCGTCGAAGGTGGTGTAATGGGGGTCACCCTGGGCTCGGCAGACGGCCACAGGGCCTGGCATGCACTTGGCGTGCCCATCCACCACCTGGCAGGTCTGCGAGGGAGGGCACTGCACACCTTCGCAGGAGGGCTTCTCCACAGACAATCGGGCTGGGGTGGGAGGAGACGTGGTGAGGGAGAAGTTAGGAAATGTGCACATGGGTGGGAATCCTGGAGCAATCCTGCTGCAGGGAGTTTGGGCAATGTGCTCACAACTACCCATTTTAGAAGTGGGGAAACTGAGGTCTGGAATCTCACAGGGAGAGAGCTGCTCAGGCCCAACCCAAGCTCAGGTTCCCTGATTCCCCAGTTTAACACAGCTCAGCCCAGAAGGACTGGAAGGTAGTGGAAAAGGACCGGCAGGAACAATCATGGCCTACCTAACTTGTTAACTTTCTCCTCTCCCCTACCTTCTCACTCAGGGCAAAATGCTAAGGCAGAAGATGGAAGACAGAAACTGTTCAACAGAAAGGAAATGACAGTGAAGTCAGGCAGCCCAGGTTAGAATCCCGGCTCCACCAATTAGCTGTGTGACACTGGACAAGGAATGTTCAACTCTCTGTGCCTCACTTTCCTCACTGGCGACATTGATGACAATGATACCTTCTTCACAGGGATTTTTGGGGAGGGGCTGCTGCCAGGTTTAAATAAGCTCAAACTAAGTAGGGCTGGGAACTGCCCCGGGTGTTATAATTGATCACCTACCTCCTCGCCATTCTACTATTGAAGCCCAAAGTGGCCCTTTGAAATTGAATGGTTTTATGCCATGGAGGGGTGGAGGGAGGGACATTTTTGCCAGTATTGGGAACCCTAGTGTCTAGGTCCCAGCTTAAGGGTTAGGGGGTCCACATAAGGAGAAACAGTTTCTTCTCCTCCACTTCCTAGTCTTCAGAAGCTCTTGCCTTCTGTCTACTCATAATCGCAGCTTACCCTTCCGTAGCCCTACTCACTTGCCAGGTACCCCCAAAGTGCTTTACAAATGTTTACTCATTACACCTGTGGAGGGGGTGCTGTTATTATCCCCATTTTACAGAAATGGAACCTGAGGCCCCCAGAGGTGAAGTTACATGCCCCAGGTCACACAAGCAGAGGTGGTATTTGAACCCCAGAAGCCTGGCTCTCCCATCTGTGCCATCAAGCGCTGCCCTGCCTGGAAGCAGCTTCTCAGTGTGCTGAGCCTGAGGCTGCATAGAGGGCCAGGTCCTAGAGATGAACTACGTTAATGCGCGAGGCACTTGGTATATTGAGAGAGAAATACCCTGGCATGGGAGGCATCATTATTATTATACATTTAGGCCTCCTGAGTTTGGGCATAAACATTCCAAAGCAGGTGTGGGAAAGTAACAGTTAGCAACTGGTATAGTTGTGCATCAGTTGCTAACATGTAAAAATATTTATAAACAAGTTGGTAAAAAGCTGCTAACCCGTCCCTGTCCCCCCCTCCCCAAATATTCCTCTCTCTCACACATTGGCTCTCCCCTAAGACTCCTTCTCCAACTTCTCCCCAAAAGCAACAGACCAAGGGCTAATGCCAGATACCATGGGGCTTCTAAGCCCCTGCTTCATGCGCTGGTATCTCTTCTGACTGGTTGGGACCCTGGACCACACCTGTTGCTAAACATTTAGAGTAGAGAATTGCTTGGCACGGGGGTGTAGAGAGGGGCTGGGAAGCCTTAAGGAAAGGAAGGATGACAGAGAGGATGGAGGTGTGTGTGTGTGTGGCAGGGGGAATAGCCCAGCTGAGCCGGGAAGCCACAGGAGAGCAGGTGGGTAAGAAAAGGGGAAAGGCGAGAGAGACCACAAAGGGGACACCTGGTGGGCAGGGTGTCGTTTCCCATCACTCACTCTGGCCGCAGGCAGCTGCTGTCCCGTAGCCTCCAGATTGGGTCAGCCAAAAGGTGAGCAGCCCGAAGCTGGTATTGGCCATGGCCATCTGGATGATGTTAGTACTGTTGAGGTCCACTTCGGCATACGAGAACTCACTGCCTGGAACAGTTACCCAGGTGAGCCTGGTCCCCAGCCCGTGTCCATCAACGGTCAGCTTGTCAGCAGCCTTCGTCTGTGCCACGACTATGGCCACACCCGTAGAGCCTGGGAAGTTATTGACCACATAGGCAGGACAGTAGGCTTCCACATCTGGGATCAGGACCAAGTAGGGGTCATAGGTCACTTTGCCCCTTGTGCCACCCGTGCCAAACAACAGGACTTGGATGCCCACATCTGCAGATAGGAAGAGTGGCCAGGATGGCCGGACCTCAAACTCAATCACGTCACCCTCCTGGAGTCCCCTGGAGCCGATGATGTTCCCGTGGTTGTAGGTCAGCTTCGTGGGCTGGCTGGCCATGGCATAGACCACATCGAAGCGGGTCTGGGAGGACAGAGGGGGCACCACATAGTGGGTGCCCCAGGCAGACGTGGGTAACAGCTGCTCCACCACATGGTTGCAGCTTGTGTGTTTCTGGGCACAGCTGTGGCCGGAGAGGACAACCACAGGGCTACTGGCTGTGACCTTTGACCCTGAGAGATCAGACGTGCTCTGTACCTGGGCCACTTGGTAGGGCTGGAGAGTCACAGTTAGGACACTGCCCCCTGGGTAGAAGTTGCCCTGGAATGTCACTGCCGCCTTCAGCTGCACACTGATCGAGGCACCCTTCGCACCAGCCACCACAGCAAACTCCTTGACATTCTTAACCGAGGCACTAGGGGGTGTGAACACTAAGTACTTTGTTCCCAGGGTGCTGACAGGCCGCAGCAGTGTCAGATCCTCTGTGTTGGGCTTAGTGTTTATGGCCTGCACAGAGATGTTGCGATCAGAGCGGACCAATACCGCGTGCTGGAAGATATTGCTGCCGATCATCTCAGCCTTGGTGCCGATGTTGACCATGACCGACTGCCCAGGCTTCACTGGTACATTCTGCGAGGTGCCATCTGCCTGGCTGAGGACGGTAACTGAAGCAGGGCTGTCCGACAGACTGGTGATGAGGAGGTAGAGCTTGCCCTTGACATACCCGGGCTGGTAGTTCTGCAGGAAGGCTGTGAGGAATTCCTCCCCTTCAGCATTGCTGGGGTCCACTGAGGCCTCCTGGGTCAACCCTGGGGTGAGAAAACGCACTCATGGCTCTATCCATCAGAGAAGTAACCCCTTGCCCTGTGCCTGGATAACCTGTCAAATATTAACTTGGGCTTTTCTCCCTCTTTTCTCTTTCCTTTCTCCTTTTTCTTGCAGCATTTACCTACCAGCCTGTCCGACTTTGTCTTCCAAAACCCTGAATGCTTTGGACAGAGAACTCAAATTCAAGTGTGAAGCAAGTAATGTAAATATGGGAAACAGTTTGGGTGGCAATTGTGCAAATGGAGCATTCAGACACATCAAAAGTGGGGTGTTGCTACTAGCTTTAGCTGTTGTTATTTTGACAGCTTATCGACTCTTTTTTCCTTTTTTATGCCAGATTTTACCTTTTTTTTTTTGTGAGAAACTTGCTGTCTGAATTTCCATGTGAAATCTCCAACCCAAAATTGTTTTAAGCTCTATGGGGCTGGATTCAGTTGCCAGTTTGTGATAATAGAACTGGAGGTGGGGGTGGGGAGTGTCAAGTGGGTAAAGGGAAGAAAGGAGTTATGGAATGTGAGCAAAATGTCTCCAAGAAATAGAGAGCAGTTTGGACTTTTCAACACCCCCAAATGGAAAGAGATGCTCCAGAAGAGAGAGGAAGGGGGAAAGGGAAGAGTAGAGAGAGAGAAGGAGAGAGGAGAAGAGAGGAGAGGGGAGGGAAGGGGAGGGTTGGGGAGGGGAGGGAGAGAAAGAAGAGTCTATGGGGTCTTGGAGAGAGTGTGGGAGTTATAGAAGAAGTGCCTGGTGAACAAGGGGGACCTTGAAGGGTATCCTAGTGTCCATGGGGCCAAGGAATCAGGTGTCCCATCCTTCTCCCAGTCCTTCGGTTTACTTAAGACTCCAGTCCTGGACATGACCCTGGAGAACTGGGCACCAAGTCCACCAAGAATGACTTTAGTGAAATTCTCCATTAACTCAGCAGAATGATTGTTAGGGTCTAAACTTTGCTTGAGTTGCAGAAAATCAAGGGAGTGGTTGTTCTTGCATCTTGAATTGGGGACTAAGGTGTTCACCTCAATTCTGCCACACTTCTCTGCAGAGCCCAAGGGCCCTCTCTCCCATTGCAGCTAGCATAGGTGACGCTGGGAGATGGGTTTGTGGAGGGGACACAAATGGAGGGTGCTGACCAGGCAGGCAGAGTCAGGAACAAGAACAGGGATGGGATCTCGGCCTTACTTACCCCACAGAAGGGTTGCTCCAGCCCAGAGTGTCCACCAGCTCCACAGGAAGCCCATGTCTGCAGTGGGGAAATAGAGGGGGGTCATAGGAAGCTGATCTGCCCCTCCTGACAGAGACCATCTCAGAAACAATAGAAGGGCCCAGTCCCAGGACAATGGCCACCTGGACAGCAGGAAGGCTTGAATGGGCTGGATCCAAGGGTCAGTGTGTATAGGGTAGCTGGATGTCCATGGGGTCTGGGGGTGGGGTGGGGAGGGCAGGACAGGGGCAAGGATAGGGAGTTGGATGGCCATTGGGTCTGGGGATGGGGTGGGGAAGCCTGGAGTCAGGAGCAAGAGTAGGAGACCTGATGTCCTATTTCCAAAGGAGACCCAGCCTCTCTTACCTGCAGGTCCCTGGAGCTTCAGGGTTAGCCCCTGGGCTGGTTTATATAATGGAGTTTCTGGGCTCCTCAGGCCACACCTTGGGCCACCTGCCAGGCAGATGGTTCCAACTTCCGGGAGGAGGCTCCTGGTCCCAGAGCCAGGTGGAATGGGGATCCTGAAGGCCTGTGGAGGGTGGAGGGCAAGCCTGGATGCCTGGGGCCTGAGGATATAACAGCTGGTGGCTGTGCCCTGAGAGCCTGCTAGGAGATTCAGTCCTGGAAGGGTGGTGGTCCTGAGAGAAACAGCTGGGGAGCAGGGTGCTCAGACCCTAGGTCCCCGGGGGGTTGAGATCTGGGTGGAAGATGGTATTTGATCTTGTTTGCTGACCAGACGCTGCCTGCAGATTTTTCCTTTGGCTTCTGCCAGGTATAACAGCAAAGGACCTGCATCCGGGTTCTGGCTGCTCCCTACTTCCTATTAGCTGATCCCTGGTCCCCAGCCACCCACATGCTGTTTCCAGGCACCACTACGGGAGTGTGCGTGATGGGGAGGTATCTGAACACCTTACTCAGGCCTGTGCAGGGAGACACAATACCTCCACCCCCAGTCCAAGAGCCTCCTATGAAATGGGAACTTCAAAACTAGCCTCACTGGGATTATTTATCTCTCAGAGGGAGCTCTGCAAACTCTCAAAGACTGTGGATGGGTGGCAGGCATCTCTGTGTGGCAACTGGGGGCTGGAGTTGTGTGCAAAGAGAGACAGAGGCCTCTGTTTCCTGGTTCCACACAGACAACAGGTTCCACTTCCTGGAGAATTCTTTGTTTTCTGGCCCTGAAAAGGGGCTGATTGGACAGATTGTGAGCACCTCCATCGCTCCAGAACCTGCCTGGGATGGGAGATGGGTCTAGGTCACACACAGGGAGAAGAGACCCTGAAAGGTGGTGTGGGCTTTCTCAGATGCAGTCTGTTCCTCCCCGGGCCGGGCCTGACCCATGCCCTGCTCCCATCCTCCTGACCGAGGACTCATTGTTTGCTGGGGAGTCTCCCCTGGAAACAACAGCTGCAAAGCCTGGGTGTTCTCCCACACAACACCCAGCAGCTGCTGCCCCTAGGACTCCTCCTCTCTTATCACCAAGACCTGGGCTTCTGTGCAGCCAGGGTGGGTGGGGCTCTGACACCCCCCACCCAGGGCAGGTTCCCAGAGAGAGAGATAAAGGCTCAGAGTCAACCAGGGACCCAAAGTCAACCAGGAAAATGAAGTGAGTAAACAGGAGACTGGAGAAAAGCCAGAGCTATCAAGAAGGGCGGGGGACCTACAAGGGGTGAGAGCTTTGGGGAGAGGGGTGCCTGGGTCCCTGAAGAGTCTGGGGGTGGGTAGAGGGGTCATCTGAGTTGCCAAGGGAAAAAGGGAAGGGGCTTCTGGGATTCCTAAGGAGGAAGCAGCTATTGCAAGCCAAGATGTCAAAATCTTCTGTGTCAGATACCCCTCTTATAGTCTGAGACACTCAGAGAAATGAGGTGGGGAGGGAGACAGACAATTAGGGAAAGTCTCAGGGGTGATTTAACCCGTCCTCCCAATCTCCTCCAAGCTTGACTCCAGAAAGAACCTTCCCCCTTCAAAAGCTGCCATTGCTCTCTGCAGCCAGAGTCCCCAGAAATGGGGTGGGGGTGGGAAATCTTTTATATTTTGGATTTGAAACCCCTGAGACCTTTCTGGTCTTTTCAGGGTGTGTGTGTGTGTGTGTGTGTGTGTGTGTATGTGAGTGTATAGTGTGCTGGACCCTGTGCCTTACTCCATGTTATATCTGCTCTCAGAAATCCCACTGATGGGTAACGCTAACCTGTGGGGACACTTTCTTATGGTCAGAGAAACCACCTCTATCCCACCCTGGCAGCCCTGGCTGCCCAAGCAAGGGTGGCAGGGTGTACATCTGAGCCTCTGACCTCTCCCTGCAGGTGGGATCTGCAGGGGGCAGATCTGCACTGGTCACACCACCTCAGACTCCGGGACCCCCTGGCTCATCTGGGCTGTAGCAGTCAAGCGGAAAGAAGTTAACTAGAAGAGGACGCTCTGCCGGGAGAAGGCGTGAGCCTGCACACAGGCCGCGTCAGAACAAAGTCTTGCACACGAGATTTGTTGTTCCGAGGCAGAACTTTCCTTGACGTGATGAATAGTCCATGAGGGCATAGAAAGTTCAGGGGAGGGTGCACTGCTGCAGGTGGAAAGAGCCTTTGTATAACATAGGAAATTAATAGTGTCATGTAGAACTTGGCTTTGATGATTTCGTAAAGCATGCCTGTTATCATTGTTACTCACTGTGCTCCATTGTTATTTGCTGTGCTCACCCCCAATAAAAGCCAGAAGGGATCAGAGGACCTTTGCTACACGCCTGAGCGAGCGGTAGCCCTCTCTCTACTTCATCCCACACGCCAAGCTTGCCTCAGTGTCTCAGATCACTCAGAACATCAACAAATGGCGCCTGAACAGGTCAGGGACCCGAAGGTAAGAAATTGGGAACGGGTAGGACCGAAAGGGTTTTGCCAGCGCAGAGTACGCGGAACTTTCGGCAATAGAGCCAGAGTCATGGGGAATAGCCCCTCGATACAGAGTCAATATATAGCTGTCTTGAGATCATTGTTAAAGAGCTCAGGGGTAAAAGTGAAGAATGAGGCTTTTAAAAAATTGTTTGAGGCAATTCAGCAGCACTGTTGTTGGTTTAACCCAGAAGGAAAACAGCAGTTAAATCTTAAGTTGTGGAAACAAGTTGGAAAGTCATTAAGGAGGGCTCATCAACAGGGAAATGCTATAGAGGCTGATGTATGGGCTGTTTTTAATTTAGTAACGTTAGCTTTACAGCCTTTTCAGTCTGATTCTGAAGATTATGAAGAAATTCCTATGAAGTCACAACAAAATCCACCTGGATGTAATTTTGACCAGTTAACAGGAACTGGGACACATAGTAGCTTACAGCAACAGGTGCTGTTAGAGGATGCTGTTATGCACAGATTAAAGCTTGTTGCTTAAAGGCTTGGTCAAAATGGAGGAGGCCGGCATCCCGGCCCAATCATTTTCTAAAGTTATACAAATAATACTAATATAATAATAATTATAATAATCATCTTATTAAAATCTTATATAAATAATTAATAATTAATAATAATAATGCTAATCTTCTTACTGCTGCATTAAAAACTGCAATTCCCATTCTGTTAAATGCTATGAATGTGGGAAATGGGACATATGAAAAAGGGATTGTCTGAAGGAAAGGGTCCCACAAGGGAAAGCTAAACATCATCCCGGAGTTATTAAGGCAGATTATAAAGGAGAAATATTAGTTATGATGTCTGCTTCTGGTATTATAAATATAAAGGCTGGAGAAAAAGTGGCACAGTTATTATTACTTACCTATAAACAAATAGGGCATACAGCACCGGTTAAGTGAACTGGGGAATTTAGTAGCACAGGAAGAAAGGTTTTTTAGCATACAGTCTTCGGAGGCCAAAGACCTCAATTTTTACAGTTTGTTCCCGGAGGGAATAAAAATTATCAGCCTACTGGATTCTGGGGCTGATGTAACTATAATTTTTACTTTGCACTGGCCTCAATCTTGGCTGGTGCACAAGGTGAATACAACCTTTACAGGTTGTAAACCTCACTGAAATTTTACAAAGCTCTAATGTACTTGAATGTCAAGGGCCTGAAGGACAAAAAGGCAGAATACAGCCATATGTCACCCCCATTGCACTATCTTTGTGGGGAAGAGATCTTTTACAACAATAGAGGGCTACAATTACTATACCTTCTTCACAGAAAGATTTGTCAAGCTGGTGCTAGCACCAGTGTTCAGGACCAAAATTTACAGAGGGGGCCACTTCACAGCACTTCGCCCTGCCATTAAAATGGAAAACAACTAAACCAGTACGGGTAGAGCAGCAGCCCCTAACGAGAGAGAAGTTAGAAACGCTCCAAATTATTATTAAAGAACAGATACAATTAGAGCATATTGAAACTAGCTCTAGTCCATAGAATTCCCCTGTCTTTGTTATAAAGAAAAAATCAGGTAAATGGAGAATGTTAACTGATTTAAGACGGATTAATGAGATTACTGAACCTATGGGACCTTTACAACCTGGAATTCCAAATTCAGCATTAAAGCCTTTGCTGTAAGAGGCAAGCCCCGAGCCATTCAAACTAACAATGGCTCAGCATATTTATCAGGTAAGTGTCAACATTTCTTTCAATAGTTTGATATTAAACATGTTACAGGAATTCCTGGGAACAGTACAGGTCAAGCAATCATTGAACGGCAGAACCGCACCCTTAAGGAAATACTGCAAAAACCAAAAAGGGGGAGAAGAGCTGGTATCAGGCCAGACGCCCCGACGAAGATTATTAAGAGCTCTATTTACTATAAATTTTTTAAATTTGAATACAGATGCAGTATCAGCTGCTAAGATACATTGGGGACATAAAAGAGGTCCCGGTAGAACAACCTATCATGTATCAAGATGTCACTACTAATCAATGGTGCCCGACTACCATTAAGGTGGGGTCGAGGCTATGCTTATGTTTCCACAGGAACCAAGAAGTTCTGGAGTCCTGATAAAAGAATCAAATTGAGGCATGGCGAGCAAGAGGAAGTGTGATGAAGCGGGACTGGAAGACCGGTTTGCGCAGCTAACCATCCAGGGAGGACAAACAATTCGCACGCCGTTGCCTCACACCTGAAACCCCCCTCCACCTACACGGGGACAGGTGAAGCGCCTATGCCAGGAAGGGGAGCGTCTTGTGACTGCCCATGGAAGGCCCTGTAACTAATGACTCTAATTGGATGTCTGGACTTTTTAAAGATCGTGGGCCTTTGAAACCAGATGCCGGAATGCCTGTGTGCCTGGGACTGGGTGGTCATTGTTTGCAATCGTGTTTTAAAGCCTGGTTGAGTGTGGCTGAAAACACCACTAATTCTTGAAAGGACCAGTTCAATGGACTCAAACTACTGGGGAAATATCTTGTTTTAATTGTACTTTGTTAACCTGTGTAAATAACTCTGTACCTTTTAATCACAGTAGAGAGAGCTTGTATCTACCGCGAGCCAGAACAGCAGTATGGTTACCTGTGCAGATGGATCGACGATGGCAGAAAAGTTCTCTAGCTGGAGCTCTCCAAGCCATTGTAGAAGGAATATTGAAGAGGTTAAAAAGATTTATTAGCATGCTAATCGCTGTAATTCTTGGGTTAATGGCTATAACAGCAACTGCTACAGCGGCTAGGGTAGCATTACAGCGATCAGTCCAAACTGCTACTTTTATTCAAGACTGGCATAAAGATTCAGAACAGTTATAGAGTTCTCAACGGCATATTGATAGTAAAGTCAATGAACAAATAGCCGATCTTGAACAATCATAGCTTTATTAGGGGACCAAATTGTTAGCCTGCAAAGGCGATTACAGTTAAAGTGTGATTGGAACCATACTAGTTTATGTGTCACCCCGGTACCATATAATGAAATAGCTTTGCTATCTTCTCTATCATGATTCAAACCTGCACCAAAACTAAAAAGGGAGGAAATGTAGCAGTCAAGCGGAAAGAAGTTAACTAGAAGAGGACGCTCTGCCGGGAGAAGGCGTGAGCCTGCACACAGGCCGCGTCAGAACAAAGTCTTGCACACGAGACTTGTTGTTCCGGGCAGAACTTTCCTTGACGTGATGAATAGTCCATGAGGGCATAGAAAGTTCAGGGGAGGGTGCACTGCTGCAGGTGGAAAGAGCCTTTGTATAACATAGGAAATTAATAGTGTCATGTAGAACTTGGCTTTGATGATTTCGTAAAGCATGCCTGTTATCATTGTTACTCACTGTGCTCCGTTGTTATTTGCTGTGCTCACCCCCAATAAAAGCCAGAAGGGATCAGAGGGTCTTTGCTACACGCCTGAGCGAGCGGTAGCCCGCTCTCTACTTCATCCTACACGCCAAGCTTGCCTCAGTGTCTCAGATCACTCAGAACATCAACATGGGCTGTATCGCCCCAGGGCACCGCTGCAGGGAATTTACTCTCTGCAGCTAAATTCAGATTTGCCAGCAATTTCTAACTTCCTTCTTTCATGCTCTGGATTCCACAAGGGGGTCTCTCTGCTCCTTTGGGGGAACTCCTCTCTCTCGCCGAAGCTGCCACTAACCCGGCTAAGGCGCAACCGCGATCTTGTTCCCCTTCTGCTCAAGAACATCGCAGGCGTCCCTGTCCCCGTGAGTGCCAATCCACACTGTTGGCAGGAGGATCCCAAGTCCTGGGGCTCCATTTCCTGCTCGGCCCACCTCGCCATCGCTGGGCAGTTCCTTCTCTTGTGCACCTTCCCCACAACCTACCTGCTGACTCCTTATCTGAAATCCAAACATCATCACTTTCTGCGTGAGTCATTTGCCAAACTGAGGCTAATCTCTTTAATTCCTCTTATATGACACTGGCTATCTGCTCCTGTACTAAATGGCAATCCCCTTGTTTTGTTTTAGCTGCTTGGAACTGAGAGTGCCTCTACGTCTACGTTCTGTTCTATACCTCCCCACCAACCTCTCTCCCACCCACCACAGCCTGACCTCCATGTGCATTAAAACTGTTTTGCTAAATGAATGGCCCGTGGAGCTTAGGAGAGAGAGACAAAGGTAATGCACTGGGGTGGAGAGGGAGAAGGGAAAGGCAAGGCATGCTCCTGAGAGGGAGAGTGCTTTGTTTACCATTTTAGGAAAACACCAAAACGTTTTTCAAAGTGGTTGCACCATTTTACCTTCTTTGCAGCCATGTGTTAGGTGAAAGGCCCTCCCCCAAGGGCCCTCCCACATGGGTCTCTGGCATCCCTGCGTACTTTGCTGGGTGTGCCAAGGATGCAAGGCCCTGACTGCCTTTACCCAGGCCATCACTCAGGACTGTACTTGCAATGAACAATCTTTTTCTTTCTTTTTTTTCTGTGAACAGTCTTGAAGGATGACATCATGTCACCCCCTGGAACAAAAACCAGGCTTGCTTACTACTTGCTATAAAATAGAAGATTCCTTAAGCTCAGGATTCCTCTCCTATAACGCAAGCCACCTCAAGGATAGGCATCCAGCTGGGGCCTCCTTGACCCCCACGGTACTGGTGGAACCCATGTGAACAAGCCTCATGTTGCTTGCTGTGCAGTGAGCAGTGAAGTACTTTCTTTGTTTGGGTGTTTTGTTTCTAAAAACTGTCTTGCTAGCCTGGCCACAGTGGCTCAGTAGTTGAACATCGACCTATGAACCAGAAGGTCACTGTTTGATTGCTGGTCAGGGCTCAGTCCCCAGTGGGGGTGTGCAGGAGCCAATCAATGACTCTCTTATCATTGGTGTTTCTATCTCTCTCTCTCCCTCTCCCTTCCTCTCTGAAATCAATAAAAAAAATATATTTTTAAAAACTGTCTTGCTCTCTTATTTGCCAATTGGTTCTAGCTCCCTCTCTGTAACATTTGATGTGAACCCTTCCTCCTTGAAAATTTCTAATGCCTAACAAAATAAAATAAAGAAAAATAAAGAAATAAAACAAAAAAAGATAAAGAAAACGTCTAATGCTTTGGATCCCATGACAGCACTTTCTTCTGGGTCTTGTGTTGTTTTGTGTTTCCTATAATAACCCCTTTTATACTGTGGTTCCCAGAATCTCTTTCTCTGCTTCTTTCTCTAATGACCTCTTTCTCTAGGAGATTTTTTTTCTATGTCCACCTACGTATGCTGTCTAATAGAACTTTCTGTGATGATAAATTTCTATATTTGCTGCTGTCCAATGTGGTAGGCAATAGCTACACACTGAGCTCTTGAAATATAATGGAAAGAACTGAATTTTCAATGTAATTTAATTTTAATTAATTTTTTTTTGCAGCCAAAAAAGTAAGGGTTCATTAGTTGTGCACACCTGGACTCACAGGTAAGCTAGTCAAAGACTTGGTTCCTGATGGCTTTCAAGGGATGGATTCTATAGGGGAAATCACCAGTCATGGTGTCTAGGGGAGTGAGAGTTATGGTCAGGGTTGTGGCCTCTGCTGATCGGTCAGTGCTAGGGTAGGGGTAGAAGATTCTTACATCTGGTCCTCATGTCAGCTATGGCATTGCTATATAAGGTTTTCATTCTTTATTGAATTTATTGGGGTGACATTGGTTAATAAAATTATATAAGTTTCAGGTGTACAATCTATAATTCATCGTCTATATTGTATTGTGTGTTCACTACCCCAAGTCAAGCCTCCTTCCATCACCTTTTATCCCCCCTATACCCTACTCTACCTCCCCCCACCCTGCTTTCGCTGTGGAAATCACCATACAGTTGTCTATGTCTGAGTTTTTGTTTTTGTTTTTTGCTTAATCCCTTCACTGTTTCACCCAGCCCCACAATCACCCTCCCCTCTGATAGCTGTCAGTCTGTTTTCTAACAATGAGTCTGTTTCTATTTTGTTTGTTAGTTTATTTTGTTCGTTAGATTCCACATATGGTACTTGTCTTCCTCGACTTGCTCGTTTCACTTAACCTGAGGTCCATCCGCGCTGTCACAAAGGGTAAGATTTTCTTTTATGGCCAAGTAGTATTCCATTGTATAAATGTACCGCAGCTTTTTTATCCACTCACCTACTGTTGGGCACTTGGGCTGCTTCCAAATCTTGGCTATTTATATATGAAAAAGCCTCAGTGACCATTAAGACTGAATGATCAGAACGACCAGTCGACCAGTTGCTATGATGTGCACTGACCACCAGGGGGCAGACACTGAATGCAGGAGCTGCCCCCTGGTGGTCAGTGTGTCCCCACAGCCAACCTCCCACGGCCAGCCAACCTCCTCCAGTCTCTCCCTCCATCCGGCAGGCCCCAGCCAGCCTGGTCCCAATCGGGATTGGGCGAGGAGCAAAGGGTTGCTTTCATATCTTGGATATTGTAAATAACACTGCAATGAACATAGGGGTGCATATATCTTTAAAAATTAGTGTTTTAGATTTCCTTGAATATATATCCAGAAGTGGAATTGCTGTGTAATAAGTTCTATTTTTAAGTTTTTTGAGGAACCTCCATACTGCTTGCACCACCTTACATTCCCACTAATGGTGCACAGGGGTTCTCTTTTCTCCACATCTTTGCCAATAATTATTGTTTGTTGATTTATTTATGATAGCCATTCTGACAGGTGTGAAGTGATATCTCAATGTGATTTTAATTTGCATTTATCTGATGATTAGTGACCTTGAGCATCTTTTCATATGTCTATTAAGCATCTGTATGTTCTCTTTAGATAAGTATCTATTCCAATCCTTGCCCATTTGTTTTTAATTTTACAATTTTTAATTGATTTTTAGAAAGAGAGGAAGGAAGAGGGGAGAGAGAAACATTGGTGTGAGAGTGAAATATCCATCAGCTGCCTCCTGCATACACCTCTACTAGGGATCCAACCCACAACCCAGTCTTTTGCCCTGACCAGGAATTGAACCCTCGACCTTTCAGTGCATGGGATAACACCAAAACAACTGAGCCACACCAGCCAGGGCCTTTGCCCATTTTTTAATTGGATTCTTTGTGGGTGGATTTTGGTGTGTGTGTGTGTGTGTGTTGGGGTTTTTTTGGTGTTGAGTTTTATAAGTTCTTTATAAATTTTGGATATTAACCCCTTATCAGATGTATCATCGGTGAATGTATTGTCCCATTCAGTGTCTTGTCTTTTCATTTTGTTGATGGTTTCCTTTTCTGTGCAAAGAATTTTTCATTTGATATAGTTCCATTTGTTTATTTTTTCTTTTGTTTCCCTTGCCTGAGGAGATATATCAAAAAAAAAATACTGCTACAAGAAATGTATGAGATTTTACTGCATATGTTTTCTTCTAGGATTGTTGTGGTTTCTAGTCTAACATTTCCACCTTTAATCCATTTTCAGTTTATTCTTGTGTATGGTATAAGAAGGTGGTTTAATTTTATTTGTTTGCATGTGGCTGTCCTATTTTCCCAACACCATTTCTTAAATAGACTGTCTTTCCTCCTGTATGTTTTTGCCTCCTTTGTCAAATATTAGTTGGCCATAAAGGCATGGGTTTATTTCTGGGCTCTCTATTCTGTTCCATTGACCTATATGTCTGTTTTTATGCCAGCACCATGATGTTTTGAGTGCTATAGCCTTGTAGTAGAGTTTGATATCAGAAAGTGTAATT